ATTATCATATCTTCCCATGGAATCGTCAGCAGCCCTAGAAGTGCAGCAGATCAATGAAGTGGCCCAACCAAAAATATTCGAGATGTTAGGAGTTTTCTGGACTGGCCACGTTTTATAAGAAGATTCATCTCGGAACTTTACACCATAGTGGAACGATAACCGATGTGTCAAGAAAGGGTGAATTTCTTTGGACGGCGTCTGCTTCTAAGGCTTTTTGATTGATATAAAGGAAAATGATTGAAGCACCCGTCATGAGACTGGCCTGATTTTCTTAGGTGTTTTTGAAGTGACATTGTGAGCGTCAGGCATAGGAATAGGAGGTCTTATCTCAAGAAGGCCACCCGTGGCCTACTTCAGCGAAAAACTAAATGACGTCCGCAACAGCTATTCCACCTATTGACAAGAATTCTATGCTATCATTCAATTCCCTTAGATATTGGAGGCATTACCTGCTGCTCAGGAATTTGTCATATTCTCGGGACCATGAAGCACTTATGATACATTACTCCCAAAAGAAGCTTAACGCCCGACATGGTAGATGGGTTGAATTCCTGCAAGAATACACGTTTACATTCGACATAAAGCAGGTTCGGAAAATAAAGCGCGCGGATGCACTTAGCCGACGTCTGATGGTGAGCTCGTGAAATGAGGATGAAGAATGATAGGGTTCGAGCAACTTAGAAAACTACTTGAGTGCCCTGACTTTAAGGACACATATCTAACCCTTCACTACGGGGGGCGAACGAATTATCGATGACTTTATTGTGGAGAGATGGATTTTATTCAAGGCACAAAACTATGTATCCCAAGACTTCTCTTCGGAATATCTAGTATGGGAGTTACATGCGGGAGGTTTTGGCCGGAACACTTTGGCCAGACCAGACAATTGCTCTCTCGAAAATCGATTTTTCTGGCTAGCCTTAGCGAGATGTCAGTCAGTTAGTGAGACGATGCACACCTGCCAACTTGCCAAACAGAGAAACAAACACTGGTTTGTACACCCCGCTCCTGTACCTAGCTCTCCTGGGTAGATGTAAAGCATGGACTTCGTACTTGGACTAGCTAAACCGTTAAGAAACACGATTCTGTATTTGTGTGTTGACGTGCGATTTTCTAAGATGCTCACTTCGTACCTTGCTCTAGAGACTTTCGACGCCTCCCTACGTCGCAAAACTTTACTTTAACGAGATAGTTAAACTTCACGGCCTTCCCAAGACCATAGTAATCCGATAGGGACGTTAAATTCACTAGCTATTTCTGGAAGAACTATGCGCTACAATGGCACCAAAATTACAATTTTCCAAGCACCTTCCACCGCAGACTGATGGTCAACTGAGGTAGTAATAGAAGCTAGGCAATCGCGTACTCCTACAGGGAACGTAGGTGTGAGGGAAACATCGAGATGGGATGCAAGTTACCCACATTAGCAACAAATGCCTTACAGACAACCTCTGTTCCGAAACAGAACTCAACTGAGCGTCCCACTGAAATGTGTTGGAGCTACCCTGAGGCTTGCCTAGGCGCGCCACGAGTTGACTGGCTCATGCCCAGCGCGTAATTATGGTGTGTCGGGCAGTCGTGCAGAGGACTGTCAGGGGCAACTGGCAGCAATGCATTGGTTATTGAGGAGTGAAGGAGTCCAGGTTGCGTCGGTATAGGCTATACCACCTTTATGGCTACGTCTGTGATGACTCTGAACGTTAGCATAGTGGTATGAGGTACAAGTAGGTGTTGGAGGATAGATTACGAATCTTAGGAATGTACTACTTGACGTGCCAGGACGACGAATTAAGTGAGAAGCATCGTGGTAGAGACTGCGCTGAATGGGCGGATCGAGTGGATGAGCAGCGCCATGGTCAGAGGAAATTAAGGAGCGGCGCATCGACCGGCTGGTTGACGCGAAAGAAATTTCAAAAAAATTGAACAGAGCAGAGATTGACTAAAGTAAGTTCCACATCTTTATATTGAAACTTAGTGCAGGATACAACGAAGAAGATTTTTAAGAATTCGCAGTTGGATAAATCCAAGAAAAATGACGTGATCAGTCAAAAAGGTACACTTCTTGGGGTTGGCGAACATTTGTTCTTTCCTCAACGTTTCACAGACTTGCCTTAAGTGATCCAAATGCTGTTCTTCCGAGTTGCTGTAAATTAGGATATCGTCAAAGTATACAACCACGAACTTTCCTAGAAAAGGTCGGAGGATTTGGGTCATAACTCTCATAAACGTGCTCGGGGCATTGCTTAAACCAAAGGGCATCACTGTCCATTCGTATAATCCATCTTTGGTTTTGAAAGCCGTTTTCCATTCATCTCCCGGGCGGATCCTGATCTGGTGGTACCCACTTTTGAGGTCGATCTTAGAGAAAAGAGTGGCTCCCGTCATCATATCTAGCATGTCATCCAGGCGTGGGATTGGGAACCGATATTTGACCGTGATTTTGTTGATAGCGCGGCTATCGACACACATTCTCCACGATCCATCCTTCTTAGGGGTAAGAAGGGCAGGAACCGCACACGGACTGAGACTCTCCTTGATGAACCCTCGTTGAAGCAACTCGTCCACTTGTTTCTTGAGCTCTGCGTGCTCAGTTGGGTTCATACGGTAATGAGGCAGGTTGGGTAAGGAGGCTCCAGGGACTAAGTCGATGGCGTGTTGGATGTCCCTAAGGGGTGGCAGTTGGTATGGCAAATCCTCAGGGAAGACATCGGCGAAAGTTTCAAGCAGAGGTTTTACTTTCTCGGGGATAGGTTCATCGTGATCTACACTTACTTCCCGAGCTACTAACGCGTAAAGAGGTGTTCCAGATCCTAGCTCAGTGTCCAAGTCTTTGGCAGTTAGAAGGTTCAGGCCCGTGTTGGGTTTAAGAGAATTTGGCTTGATGTTGTCCCTTGTAGATTTGGGTTGGGTGGGGAGGAGTTTGATCTTCTTGCCCTCGTGTTCAAACACGCAGGTGTTTGAACGGCCATAGATGTGTACATCATTGTCAAAAAGCCAGGGGCGGCCAAGGATGATTTGGCCCACATCCATAGTTAACACATCGCACCAGATTTTGTCCTTGTATCCGATGAATTCAATAGGAATGAGACTCCTATCTTTCACTTCCAGAGTCGTTGAATTAATCCAGGCGACTTTATAAGGGTTGGGGTGGGGTGTGGTCTTCAGCTGAAGTCTAGAGATCATGGCTGAGGATACAGCGTTAATACAACTTCCACTATCTATTATAACCTTACAGTTCTTGTCGCTGATCTTAGTGAAAGTGTAAAAGATTGCAGTTCTTCTCCAGTCATCACTAGGTTTGGGTTGAGAGAAGGCACACCTTACAACTTGCAGATCTAAGCGATCCACCTTCTGGAGACAGTGGACCACGGGAGTATCGTCCTCATCGAAATATTCCTCGTCGTCGTCCATGTGGTGGACAAGCTCAACGTCAGGTTCGTCTTCTTCCTCCGTCACTTCCTCAATTATCGTGACCTTAAACGGGCTGGAACACTGAGACGCAATGTGTCCATACCCATGGCACCTAAAACACTTAGTGCCGGCTGTGGTCTTGGGTGTCTCTCGGTCTGGCGTTTTCCCTTTAGAATCGGATCGAGGTTGGGTTTGGTTAGGAGCAGGCCGACTACCTGAGGGTCCAGTGGGTTTGTTGTACGGTTGGCTAGAGGAAGACTTGTAGGGGTTAGGTCTAGAGTCTTGGGTTCTAGGGGCGTGGCTCCTAGATTCTTCTAAGTCCAAAACAAGACTACAGGCGGCTTCGTATGTGTTCACTCCCCTAGCAAAGAGTTCATTTCGAATATCTTCTCTTAATCCGGCTCTGAACATTGACAGGAGTTGCGTAGGAGTGGTAGTCTCCTCTCCGTTACAACGAATCAGGAAATCATCGAAGGTCGAGATATATTCCTTGACGGTCTTGCTCCCTTGGGTTAGCCTATTCCATCGATCTAGAAGTCTTGGGTAGTATGAGGGAGGGAGGTATTTCCTTTTCAGCTCCTGTTTCATTGTTCCCCAGTCAGCAATGGGGTACTCGCCTCGCGTTTCCCTCATGTGCTCTACATTGGTCCAGTACTGATTCGCCCTACCAGTCAACTTCATCTCAGCGAATTTAACTTTCTTATCTTCCGAGATATTGTACCACTTGAAGTAGCTATCCATTCCCTTAATCCAGTCAAGAAAGAGTTGAGGCTCTAACGTACCGTCAAACATCGGGGCGTCTACCTTAATACTTTTGAGGAGTTGGGCATCGTTGTCTCTCCAAGGGGCTTCTCTTCCTACCTGATCATGGTTGGGTCGGGGGTTAGGTCGGTAAAACTCTCGATGGTGTCCGTAATCCGTTCGATTATCATCGCCGTAAGGAGATTGTGGACGGGAGGGAGTGTAGAGAGCGGGGTGACCTATTCTTTCAATGTTATCTAGTCTTTCTCCCGTATGTCGTCTAAGTTCAGCTACACTCGTTTGGGTATCCTTCATTTGTTGTGTAAGTGTTCCTAATTGACCCATAATCATGTCTAAAGTGGTTTGCAAATGGGTAGGATCCATGGTTGGGTGTTAGGGGTCACTAGGAAGACTTCCTAAGTCAAGGACAGCAGTTAACTCTACCGAAAAGCTTGCTGAAATCTAGGCTACAGCAGCTGGAAATCGCTGGACAGCAAACACAGTCGAGGGGAAAG